ATCTGAAAGTGGTTTAAATTTCAATTTTGTTAAATTAAAATTTATAATTTTGTATTTATGCATTCAATGTTCTATCTAGTATCCCTATATATATTAATATATCAAATAGAACTTATTTATTTAATCAAATTACAAATAAATAATCATTCTTCTTCTTTCATATATTTATAAGAATTAATACGATTGATTTCAAAATCTAATGCATTGATTGAATTCAAAAAAATATTCTTATAATATTTATAAAAATCATTGGCCTCTTTAATTGGAAGAAGATTCAACATATCATCAGTTGGAAATAATATCTTGATAGATTCATATATCTTCTTCTTTGTAAGAATGAATGCTTTTCAATTATTAATAAATTGGTTTCTTTCTTCCACACTCTTGAAATGATTTTTCATCATAGTTTCTTCAACATAATTATTAAGTTTATATGAAATATTATATCTGCTTATCAATTCATAATAATCAATTTTTTTAATCTTCTTTAAACCATCTTCTTCAGATATAGATTCAATTTTTCTTTTTTCGATGACATTTTATTTGAATGTTTATTGATGAGATGACATTCAAATATGAAAACAAGATATCCTTTATATATAATTTTTTTTTTTTTTTTTTTTTTAAAAAAAACTGGCGAAGTCCTGCCATCGAGTTTTATTTATTCATTAGTACTGACAGATGTATACAAATTTAATTGTGGGTCATTACATTTATGAAAGGAAAAAATGCTATGGCTCAGTATTCTATAGCTAGAAACCCTGTGACTTGCTGCAGTCCACTGTGGTGGAAGCTAGCGTGTCAGGACTCCACTAGCACTTATGTGTATAGAGAAAAAGTAAAAGGGGAAGTAGCTGTTTTGTAGTGTATTTTCTGTGATGATGTTAGTAAGTTCTATGTAGAGGCTGTCGAATTTGTCTTTTAAATATTTCTTCAAGTCTATTTTCACTTGTTCTGGTTCTGGGTATATCTCGAAGCTCCTGATTGCCATGGTGGCTGGTGAGTCTGGGCTTCTTGTTACTATGTTGGGAGGGGATGTCTTAAATTTGATGTGGTTCTTTTGTCTCTTAAGCTTCTTGTTTATGTTTTGACTCTTTTCCCAGTCTACTGTAATGTTGCATCTAAGCTTCCACACCTTCCATTTAGCCTGCCAAAACCAGCGGGAGGCTATTCTGATTGCTTTCAGTGCTTTGTTCCTATCCTTGGTTATAGTTTCCACCACTTGGATCATGCCATGTGTTATGACACCTCTGACTATATCCTTCCATTCTATTTTGTAGTGGCTTCTGATTGCTTCCTTGTGTTCTTTCGTTATTGATATTCTTTCCCACTTGCTTTGGATTGGTTCTGTTTGTTTTCCTTTGGCTCTCGCTACACTTTCCTTCGTGAGGACCTTAATGTATTCTTCCTGGAGTTTTGTTTTTGCAGGGCCACAGTAGAAAGCATGGCTGTTTGTTTCTTGGTGTTGTTTACAAATTCTGCATTTGTCATCTGGGTAGATGTCTGGGCGTCGCTCGTGTAATTAGTTCATTATTGATAGTTCGTCTGTCCATGTCTTGATTCTAAAGGAGCGGTCTTGGTAGTCTTCAAGGTTTGTCTGTATTGAGGTGATCCCTGTTGGCATCAAAAGTTTCAAGAACAGTGGCCAGTGGATTTCCTTGAATTTTTCCTGGTTTAGCCATTCCTGGTTTCTTCGTAGTGTGCGCTATTTACTTGCCCACTTATTCTTGAGTATCTGTTTTGTTAGTGGTTTGATTGCGATGTCGTAGACTTTTTGGTTCCACCTAGTGACCATCCTTATGCCAGTGGATGCTTGTGCATTCACTGTTATACTTCCTTTGGGTTTGTCCATAATACCTGTTGCTGCGAGACGGTCTGCTTTTTTGTTGCCTTGGATGCCTGAGTGGCTCTTTACTTTTTTCCAAATAGCAGTGATTCCTTTGATTTTGATTATATCTGTGGTGATGCTGCTCAGGATCTGGTTCGGGTGGTTCAGGCTCCTCTTGTATCTTTTCCGAGGTGGGATGTCTCTAAGGATGTTGATTGCTGACTGGCTATCTGTGAGGATAGTTACTGTCTTGTTGGTGCCGATGGTGTACATAGCTGTTAAGATTGCCATTAACTCTGCTCTTGTGGATGAGGGAGTGTCCTGTGACTCAACTTGGAATTCTGCCACTTGCTCCTCCGTTTGAGTAGTTATTATCCAGCCTAGGCCCATCCTGCTTCTCTCCGGATGTCTTGAGAAAGATCCATCTGTATAGATCCTGAGGTTGTTTAGTTCTTTTATTTCCTTTGCAATGTGCGTTAGTTTGTCCATAAGACTCTGGTTTCCTATTAGTCTGTTAAGGATTATGTGTGTTGTTTCTGAGATATGATCCAGATGAATCTGTGGAGTTTCTATAGGCATTGTCACTGTTTCTCTTTCTTGTATTGTTAATCTGATTCCTCGAGGGATGGAGCGCAGCCTGTCTACGGTGGGTTGCCTTGTTGTTTGGTTGTTTTCCAAATTGGTTGATTTAGAGCTTCTATCCACTGTGATGTTGATTGTTCTAGCTCTTATTAGTTCTGCGATACATTGGGCTTGTTCCTTGTACTGACTCCTCAGTTGTTGATTATTTTTGTGGCAACCTTTGCACTTGAAAAGTGGCGATGTTGATTGGTCAGTTATCATGTGATTTGCGATGATTTTATTAGACTCTGTGTGTTTCTTTTTCCTATAGATTGTTACTTTTCCATCTGTTTCTGTCGCTATCCATTTAATCAAGGTTCTTGGTTAGGAGGGGAGGACCGGTGTGTTGTTTCGAAATCTGTTGCTCATACTGCTCATGGTGGGATTTTTGATGTTCGTGTATGAGTTTTTCTCTGGATCGATACATATGATCTTCCATAAGTCTTGGAACCATCTGGGAGTTTTTCCTTGTTTACCTCCTTTGGTTCTGAGTTGTTGCCAGGTAAGTGGTCTTGAGAAGTCATCATTCAATAATTGTTCCTTAAAGAGGATTCCTCTTTTTTTTAAGAAAGGTCTATTTTGGTTATACCAGCTTTCTGTTATTATGTCTTTTATTGCTACCTCTCCTCCGCTCGGTGGGATACCTATTGTGGTGTAATTGTTCAACTGAAAGGTTATGCCTTGTACTTTGAGCATGTTGAGGATATCGTTTGTAAGGTTTTGGCGTCTCTTAATCCAGAAGGGGTACTTGTTTTCTAAGATTGATGATTTTGACCAGTACTGGTTTTGGAGTTGTAGTAGTCTTATCCATGCTATTCTGCTACAGATGTCGTGGCTGTTTATTCTCTTGACCAAATTGTTGGTATGCAGTTTGACTTGTCTATCCCATAAATTGAAGAGTCTGTATCCAAAGTCTGCGTGGATGATTGTATTGGGAGTTGTCGTGGGTAAGTTGCATTTGTGTTTGAAGGTCTTGATAATTTTCTATTATGCCGATTACATTCTTGTTTTGACAGTATCAAGTCGTTAAGCAGGTATTCGATTGCTGGATATAGCACCTGGTTTATTACATAACGTGCTTGCTTGTCTGTGATCTTCTTCCACCTGATGATGCTCATATGGTTGTCGATTTTTTCCCTGATTAATTGCTTTTGATGTTGTTTTTTTCCGTCCTCTGAGATCCAGACTCCCAAGATATGTGCTGTTTCGTTCCTTTCTATGGGCTGGATTTTGGTTCCTGTTAGTGTGACCCCCAACTCCTAATTAGTCTTGGTTTTGTTTATACATATGAGGGATGATTTGTCCCCGTTTGCCTGTATGTCATTGATATTTAGGAATTCTGAAGCAATGTTGAGAATGTGCTACATGTCTGTTATGCTTGAGGTATATCATGTGGTGTCATCCATGTATGCTGTAGCTGAGATCATTTGTGTTGTCGTGTGTTGTGGTGTCCCCTGGTTACTATTTGTGGTGAGGTCAGTCATCCAACTTACCTTCATCTCATATCCCTTCCTTTGATCCTCTACTTCCTGGAGTAAGGGGTCATAGAAGATTCTCCATAGGAGTGGGGACAGTGTATCTCCTTGGTCTATTCCGTCTAGAATCTCATACTTGTCCGTATAGCCATATGTTGTGATGACCTTGTTCTATCTGTTTATAAGGGTGTCTTTCAGGATGTTTATTATAGCTTCCAGTATCTTAATGCATTTTAAGGCTAGCATTAACATGTCTTTGTTGACTGAGTCGTATGCCTTGCTTATGTCCTGACTAAAGATCCATGTTTCTTTTCCACATTCTCTTGCTTCTTCCAGGATATTATTCATAATGTGTATGGGTTGTTGTATGCTACTGCCTGGGAGACCAGCCCAGTTGTTTCTGCTTGTTATGTGATTTTGGTTCAGTGTTGTCGCTAATCTGTCATTCAGGATTGACATAAAGATCTTCCTTGTTGTTTCCAGCAGGGTAATTGGTGGAAGATGTTTATGTCCCCCATCCATTCTTTCGATTTTGGGATCGGGTAGACCTCTCCTTGTTTCCAGTCCTTTGGAATGTTGCCCATTTCTAGGATCTTGTTGTAGATTGTTTCTAGTACCTGAATGCCTTTGGGTTCCAGTTTTTTCAGGATAATGTATGGGATTTTTGATGGGCCCAGTGCGCTGAATTTGTTTTTGGTTTTTATGACTTCTTTAATCTCTTGGCTGTCTATTCTAGCTATACAGTTATTGTACCATTCTGGTTCGATGTGTTCTATTGGTGCGTATCTGTTGTTCCAGTTGGGGTAGTCTTGCAAGTTTAAGGGTTTTCTGGATTGTGTCCATTTTTTGAAATGGTCGTGGATCCTAGTTTTGATTTGGTCTGCATCCGTGATGATTGTCATGTCTCCTGTTGGTGAGTGTTTTATGAGTCTTATTGTATCTATTTTCCTGTATGGTCTATTTAGTATGCTGCTAATTATCTTCTTAGGTTGTTCTTGCAGGTATTTGAAGTGTCTCTCAATCCTACTGTTGATGATCTTGTTTCTTTCTCTCTTTATTATTTGTTGTACCATAACTGTTTCTGTTTTCCATGCTTATGGAGTTCCACCATCCATTGGTATTGTTTAGTTTGTTGGTCCGGACTATTGGATTGTGTGGGAGTTACGCAGATTCTTATTGTTTTCCTATTGATGGCTTCTACCAATTCTAGGATCTTTTTTTCCATTTCGTTGCTCGGAGCATCTGTTGTTATGTATCTCTTGTACGTTCTGTACAGCTTACCCATGGCCAGGGGTAGTTTCATTGTTTCTCTGTAGTGTGAAACATGTATTGTTGTAACATTTCTGTTTCTCCGTCTTTTTTTAAGATTTTTTTTGCTGGCTTTTAATAAGATATCTTTGAAGAGGTTCCAGATGTCTTCTAGTAGTAGTTGGCCTCTTGATATAATCTCTTCTGCCTTTCTTTCTGTCTCCTCCTGAAACTTACTCCATTGCTTCTCAGTTGAGTTCTCATAGTCGATTAGTCTGGCCTCGTTGTTTCTTCTGTTTGTTAACTTATTCCAGTTACTGTGTGGTGTGCTCATTGTTAAGGTTACCATTCAGTGGTCAGTGTTGATTGTTGTGATTAGTGAGATGTGAGATGTGTATATGATGTATTGTACTATTGGTCTGGATACCCATATGTAGTCTAGCCTACTGCCGTATTGACTTTTGCTTCTTGTATATGTGTAGTTCTTGGTAAGGGGGTTTGTAAGCCTGTATGTGTCGGTAAAGTCGAAGGTCAAAAGTGTGTTGATGATTTCTCTCCTGTGGATGCCCGGTTTCTTTTTTGTAGTTGTTCTGTCTAGGGTATTATTACTATCTCATTGAAATCCCCCAGAACGATTATGAAGAAGTTCTTGTTTGAAGCCTCCTGGATGACTTGTTCAAGCCATCTGATTAGTACCTGTCTTTTGTCGATTAGTGTTGAGTTGGCCGGGCTATAGATTGCGATTATCCGATATCTAATTTTGACCTTGAAAGCCATGTCAATGTATATGGCCCTGTCTTGCCAGGTTCCTGAGCTGAAGATGTGTATTGTCCATTTCTTCTTAATAATAAGTCCCACTCCAGTTCCTGTTTGATGTTGATTGTCTCTTGTTGTCCATATGGCATAGTTGTCTCCTTCGCTCGTCCATTTGTGGTTATATGGAAGTCATGTCTCTGTTATTCCTATGATGTCATATTGTTCATCTTGTGCGAAGTTTGTTAGTGCAATCTGTTTACTTTCTTCGTTTATTCCTCTGATATTGATTGTACCTATTTTCCAAGTGTTAGTTTGTACCGTGTTGTGTTGGTTGTCTTTTGTCTCGTGTTTCTTGGTTGAGAGTGTTGATGTTATTATGGAGGTGTTGTTGTGAGTATGTTCGGGGTTTTCCACTTGCCCTTGTAGGACCTGACTCTGTGTTTGTTTACTCATATTATTTTGTTGTGTTGGGAGCAGGGGAAGCTGTCTGTTGCGAGATTCTGAAGAGATTGATTGCTTCTTCCATTGTGGCACTTATTTTGTTAAGTTGCTCTTGGTAAGCTTCTTGTGAAGCTCTGATGTCTTGGATGCTATTCACGGGGTTTGTTTCCGGTACCATGTTGGCTGTAGTGTTGTTGTCTTCTAGGTCTTCCATCAGCTCATTTGTGCTTTCTGGGTATCTGTTGATGCATTCTTGCTCGAGGGCGTCCACTCTCTCATTTAAGTCTTGAAGGCTCTCTTTCAGGTTTCTTACCTCCTTTTGTAGTGAGAGAAGGATCTTTCACATGCTCTCACTATGTTGTTCCTGTTCTTGCATGTGTTTGTATTTCAAAATGTTTGCATAGCTTCAAGGGTTGTCGTCTCTTCTGTATGTTCTGTTGTTGTCATGCTTGAGGCTTCTGTAGGGGTTTTGATCTTCTGGTCTATTTTGTGAGGTAATCCTTGGGTTGTTTGAGCGGTTCGTGTGTTGTCTTCGTGAAAAAAACTCTGGTTTCTCAAGGTATTCGAATTTGTTATGGGTTGGAGAACTACATACCAGGCAGAGCTTGGTTTCGTGGTCCACCCATTGTGTTTGTACGTCCTTCATGAGGGGTGCTGATTTTTTTGCTACTTGGAGGTCCTCTTCCGTCGTATATGTGAAGATGGCAAATCTCTTTGCTTAATTGTTATTGTCACATGGAATATAGCATGATTTTGTATTTGTGCTGGTAATTATTACTGAAAGGTCTGATGCTGTAGAATTCTGGGGGAGTTGTGTTAATGTTGCACTGTATCGCTCTCTTTTGTTCTTAATTTCGTAGGTTCTATTGAAGGGGAATATTCTACAAGAGTAGTGGCCTTGGCTAATTAACTATTCCTGACTGACTTCTACGTAGTCAGACATATTTGTGAAGATGATGTTAGCTGATTGGAATGGACCGGCTTTTTGCATAGTGATTTAGTCAATGCTGATTTGGTCGTTGAAGAATTCTGCTAGATCTTTTTTGGAGAAGTGTTGGGGAATGTCCCATACTCGGATGGTACGTGATTTACTTTTATGTGATGTGAGTGGTGCAATCCTGTTAAATTTGGCTTTTTCATTGTCTGTAATATTGATCGTGCATGCCATAGAGAGTTCTTCATAATTGGACATAACGACTGCGATTTTAGGTAAGCCGGTTGGATACTCGTATCTCACATGTTTCAGGGAGAGAAGGTGCCCTATTTTTTGTTTGATGAAATCGATTTTTTCTGCCGGTGATTGTCCTGGGACGAAGTCTGGGTCAATTACTGCCTTCCCTGGCACGAGCGTACTTGGTTGTTCTGTTCTATCCTCTAGGGTGGAGGGTTTATGATGGATATCTTCTGGTTTATCGTAGCTGTATTTTGTTTGTCCTGTGATACCTGACAGCGTGTCTTGGATTTGCAGTTCGGGGGCACCTGGGTTTTCGGATTCGCAGATCATGATAAAAGAGGGTGTCCTGCTAGAAGAAAAAATATCTGTTGGTGCTGCGGGTTGTTCTGTTTCCTTGGTTTCAATTTCTATCACCCTCGGTTGTTCGATTGCCATGTCTTTCTCCTTCCCTTTGTATATGGTGTTTTTGGGAAGTGCCGTTCTTGTTCCTAGGGGAGTATGTCTCAGTTGCGCTGATGATGTTATCAACTTTGGTTTTAGGATTCTACAGTTATTCTTGCTAAGTCTGTCAATGTTGTATTCTGGTATCATCTGTCTGCCTGTACTCCTTAGCTCCCTTGTGGAGGCCATTTTGATGAGGGCTACTATGTAGCTAGGTTCGAATTTTTCTTTTTTTCTGTTGCCAAATAAGGAAATTTTTTTCAGTTTTGAGATTTTCAGGAAAGAGTTTTTTTTGAAAATGAGTAATGTATATATAAATTTTTACTTCTTATTTATTTGATAATATAATAACATATCAATGAAATCATTTCATGAAAAAATATAAAATCTCAATCTAAATCTCTTTCTCAACCATCATCAAAATCTTATCTAATCTTGACATTATAATATATAATATATCGAGGTTTGTACATTCATTTATAATGCTTGTATGTGATCTTTCCATTTTTCGTATTCTTGTTAAACATCTTTTCAGATTCCAATTCCTTATATTTTTCACTTTTGGATCACTCACAATCTAGAAGTGCATGAACATTCTTGTCATGATCTGAATATCTGTATCTAAAAAATTGATAATATGGAATCTTTAAAATTTCCTTCTTATTCTGATAACTGTCAGGTACACAACACTTGTAGCCAAATTGATTCATTTATCAGGTATCTCCTGACATCATACGATATACTTATTGACATATTCGTAATCACGTTTATTCTTTGGTTTACTTCTAAAATGCATATAAGATTTGATTCCACTAATAGCTTTGGTCACTCACAATACCCCCTTATATAATTGTTATGTTGCAATAATTCTTAGATCTTTATTACACAAATTTTTAAAATCAATTATAAAAGACATTCTTTATTATGAATACACAAATCAAAATTACAAAAATGCCTAAAACCAACATTCCCAAAATCTCAAAAAAAACTGATACTTACAACAAATCTCCAAAGAAGATCAAAAAAAAAAATCTTCAAATGATATTGAAAAAAATGAAATGTAATCTGTCAAAAAAGAAAATGTCGAATTCAAGAAAAATATCAAACAATTCAAAAATCTTATTTCATATGCAAAAAGTTATTACGGGCTCTCTTGGTTATTCATGAAAAATATATACAATATCATAAATAAAATTAAAAATGAAAAAACATCAAACAAAAAATCCACAACACCTATTATCCAACAATCTACCCAAACATCTCCTCTTGAAATCAAAAAACAAATATCAAACATATTTAACACAACTCAAGATATTTCTCAAATACCCATCAATAAATCATTTCAAACATTGGTCAAAACATTCTTTAAAAATTCACTCAAAGATAATATTAACAATTTCTTAGATAACATAATTATAAATGAAACATATATTAATGAATATTTAATTCAACAAAAATAATATTTCATATTTTTCATTTCATCTTTGTATTCGCTTAGATCCTGGTTTTGGGCCATGACATTTAAAAGGATTTCTCATACATGTTTGACTATGATTTAAATAATTAAAATATATATTATAAGCAATTGTGACATTTTTTCATTTATATGATGACATTTTTTTTTATTTGATATGTAAAATTATCAAACATATTTATAATAAATTCATAATATATTTCAGAATAATAAAAAAAAGAATGTTCTCAAGAGATCTTCAATTGAATAAATATCTTTGATAAGTTATTATTATTTTTCACATGATTCTTGTATGCAAATTTTGTATGTTTGTCACAAGTGCAATTTGGAGTTTTCAAAAACGTATCATCCAATCATCTTAATGTATCATAAAACTCATAATGTCAAAATTGATACTCACCACCTTCATATTTATAATTTCTTTCCTTACTATGCACAATAAATTTAGAATTTTCTCGATTCAAAAATATCTTATAATCACTATGTTCTGACACCTTTACAATCACAAATTCAGCTGAATTTTATAATTCTTGAATATTGTCATATACACAGAAGATTTGATCTCATAAATTGAAATCTCGATTTTATCATCTCGAGCATCAATAATCACAACATCTGAATACAAATCTTTGAATCTAAAATTTTTCAACAAATATATTTCATACATCTTTTCAGATAGTATGATACCCAACTGATAGAAAATATATAGATCCTTATATTCATTTTCAAAAAATACATCCAATTTC